CACACTCCTCAAGAGCTCCATCACATTGCTATACTTCCTCGACCACTTTTTACAGGGGGTGGTTAGTTATGTAACTGTTGAGTTTGGTTACACACTGTGGAGGGGAAAAAAGGCCCAATTTGTTGGTGAAATATTATTATAATTACCAGCCACATAAACGTCTCATTAGTTCAAGATTTAAAAAAATTATTTTGGAATGTTTTAGACCAATACTATGTAGCGTGAGTATAGCTCCACGCTAAACACATATTGTTGGAGTCCTTAATCCTATGGAAATGATGTCAAATGAACTGCCTGGGGACTAAGGAATAATTTATTCTTAGGCTTAATCTCTTAATGGGTATTTGTTAAAGAGATTCTTGCTGTGTAGGAGGGTAAAGCATGATGGATGAGGGCTGGACTCCTTGTAAAAGTTTTCTTATTGTGCTTTACTCCAGTAATTAATGTACTTTTTTCTGGTAACACCAGGGCACTCGCATGAAAGAAATCTGTTCAAGGATGAAAACGGATTGCTTACTGGGCCTTTCATAGGGAGGTTTTTTCCCTCTTTCCTTTTCTTCCTTCTGTTCATTTAAATATATTTTTGGTTGGATTTGATACTGGACTGATACAACTTGGGGCTTGTGCTTTAGAAAAATGCTAATATTCTATATAGTATTTTTGGCTTTGACTCAAAGCAACAATGTCATAGACTCTAGGTAAAACAAATCACTATGATCCCTTTGGCCATTTTTGGTAATGGAGAGTATGCTGGCCTACTCTTAACAACTTGGCTACCTACTTGCTGTGTGACCTTGAATAAATGGCCTAACTTCTCTGATCCACTTTACTCACCTGCAAAATGAGGAGTGAGTCTCAGCCTTTTCACACCTACAAATCTCTCATTTTAGAGCAGTACTCTCAATAGAAATATGTTACCCATATCATGTAATTTAAAATATTTTAGTATCCACAGTAAAGCCAAGTAAAAAGAAAGTTAACATCACTTTTAATATTTTATATAACCCAAAGTATTAAAAATATCATTTAAACAGATAACATAAATTAATAAAATATTCACTTTTTTATGCTAAGTTTTTGAAATCTGATGTGTGGTTTATACTCACAGCATAACTCGATAAGGATGAGCCACATTCAAGTGCTTGAAGGCCATGTGTGGTAAGTGACCATTGTATTAGACAATACAACTATAGACATTTGGAAAGATTCTGCTTACTCAAGAGCAGTTACTACGAACAACTGATCTAGTTTCACATTTATAACTCCAACCATAAGCAGAGCAACCTCATCCTTCCATGGCTTGCTTAATCTTACAATCCTGTCCCCAAATACAGAATGGCCATGAGACACACCAAATACTAAATCTGGTGCACGGACCCACCCCCATTACTCTTTCAGACTCTTTGGGGTCTAGGGGGCATAACTGGACTAGATAACACCTTAGGGTCTCTTTCAGCGCTATCATTTAGTCATTTCAGTGTTTGATCACTGGCAACAGTATCAATCATGCAGGCACTTATCAGAGAAAAAAATATCCAGGGATTTAAATAGGGAGTGGGTCATCTGCCCAGCGAGAGTACTAGAAGGGACTGGCATCTGCTCTTTTAATGTGAGCCATTTCCCTCTAAGGTCATACTGCTCCTGACAGCTCTCATTAACCCCGGATGCTGCAAAAGCAGCGGAAGGCACAGATGTATGCAAAGAATTAATGTATTTTAATGCTGGAAGATTCTTTAGAAATCACCTGGCCCAGTGCTCTCCATGGCATCCTTCTCCAAGTGACTTGTTCAACATCACACATCTGCAGGGTAGAACTACTATCCTGACTCCTCTTCGTCTCCAACTTAAATCTCACACATTAAAAATAACAGTAAAGGCTCTCTTCTAGGCATGAACTGAGGGGTCTCAAAATGTGTCAGATTTGGTCAGAAAGTCTATACTGACCCAATGAGACTGTGAGGATGAAATCTACAAATTATTTACTTTTATTTTGGAAATATGTCAATTACATGTCCTATTTCCAGTTATTATATTTCATACTTACTCTGAATTAGCATACATATGTCTTTAATTAGGGAAAAGTGGAAAAACAAATTAAGTTGTACTTAATTGATACAGATTTTGTGGTAGGGAAAATATTGCAAAACATGAGATTCAGGCATGAAAAATATAATAAAGATGGAGACTTCATATGAAAAGACCAGAAATGATACCATCATACCATACCCCCCAAAGGAAGTAATATTGAGTGATGGTCAGTGCATAAGGCTTGGAATAATCCCAAGAATATTGAAAACGAAGGTATATTTTAAAAGACAAGAACCCTAGCCCGTCCTCAAATCTCTAGGACAGATTCCATCTTATACCTCCAAATCTTTCCTTCCTCCCAGGATATGTGGCCATTTTTTGTAGCCAATGGCTAAATTATGCAATCAAACCTGCTAAAAGAAGTGCCAAAATTAGATGCCAAGCACATAAGGCATGTTATTGGCACTATCATTCCTCTGGTTCTCAAGTTTCCAGCTAACGCCAGTGTCCAGAGTTACTCAAGAGTTTAAGCTAGAGGATTGTGAAGGGTGTAAGCAACGTGACTAAAAAAAGACGCAAAGACTGACACAAACCAAATGCAAGGCTACTTGCTACACGAGGAGCCAAGAAATCAACTCCGTGGCTTAGTGACATACTTCTACTCTGCAGAGGAAGATATGTGAAGCTTGTTGCAGCCAGTCTTTCCAAAAAGGCACACATGGAAATGAAAAATCACAGCAGCACTGCCATCATTCCTACTAATTATAACGGTGGAGGTGGTATTGGTGATAATGAAGATGGAAGAGCTTCATTCCCTAATTGGTTCAACGAATACTTATTGAGTACCTCCTCACTGCAGGCATTGTTCTACGCATCAGGGATACGGCAATGAACAAAACGGGAAAAATCCCTTTTCTTCTTGAGTTTACATCCTAGTCAGGAAATCAGGCAATCAGTAAATAAACAAGTAAAATATATACTGTGTCAAATGGTGGTAAGTGTTCTAGACAAAAAAAGTCATGAGAAGGGCATGCAACTGAAGGGGTGAGATTTACTTTGAAGGCCTCACACTGCAGCAGGTATCTGAAGGAGGGAGTGGGGCATGGATATATTTGGTAGAAAAGCATCCCGGCAAGCAAGGACAGCCCGTGCAAAGGCCCTGAGGTCAGAACATGCTTGGTACGGCCTGCCATCATGTCTTGCCAGACTTATTGTTAAAAGACCCCTAACAGGCCTCTCTACTTTCACACGTTCCCCTCCTTTCTCCCACTCTCCCTCCTTCTATCCTCTACACAATAGCTAGAATGATTCTTTAAAATTCAAAGACTGTGTCAATCCTTTGCTTACGATTCTTATTGGCAAATAATTAATACAAGCCAAAGTCCTAGCCAGGTGCAATGGTTCACGTCTATAATCCTAGCAATTTGGGAGGATGAGGTAGGCGGACGGCTTAAGGCCAGGAGTTTGAGATCAGCCTGGGTAACATAGTGAGACTTCATCTCTACCCCCCCACCCTCCGCCACCAACAAAAACAATTTAGCAAGGCATGGGGTGCACACTCGTAGTTCCAGCTACCCCAAAGGCTGTGGCAGGAGGATCAGGAGCCCAAGAGTTCGAGGTTGCAGTGAGCTATGATCACACCACTGCACTCCGGCCTAGCCAAGACCCTGTCTCAGAAAACAACAGAATCTCTGCAGTGGCCTGCGGGCTCCTCCCAAATCCTCTCGCCCCACTCTTGTTTCCAAACCCCACTCTACCTACTTGCCAGTCAGTTTAGACACATTCGCTTCCTTGCTGTTCCTTTTAACACGCCACTTTCCCTGTTCGAGACCTTTCTCACTCCTCCTGTTTTTTTTTTGGGAGACAGAGTCTCACTCCGTCACCTAGGCTGGAGTGCAGTGGTACTATCTCGGCTCACTGCAGCCTCTGCCTCCCAGGTTCAAGCAATCCTCCCACTAAGGCTCCCAGGTTCAAGTGATTCTCCTGCCTCAGCCTCCCGTGTCGCTGGGATTACAGGCAGACGCCACCACACCTGGCTAATTTTGCATTTTTAGTAGAGACAGGGTTTCACCATGCTGGCCAGGCTGGTCTCAAACTCCTGACCTCTAGTAATCTGCCCACCTTGGTCTCCCAAAGTGCTGGGATTACAGGCGTGAGCCACTGTGCCCGGCCTGTATCTTGACAGTGTAGAACATACTTGACATATAGCAGGTACTCAGTTAATATTTCCTGAAAGAACGGGTCTCACCATCTCCTTTCCCGTCTCCTACACTACGGTGCTGAGCAGCACAGAGGAAAAACCACACAGACAGACAATATCAATATAAACTCCTGGTCTCCCACTGGGAGGCGATGCCACGTGGTGAGGGGACCCCAGCTTGGCTCAGTCAGCCATATCTCCCATTTCCTTCACTGCTATGTCTTGTATCTTTGACTTCTCAGGAAAAAAAAGGTGGGGGGGTGGGGGGGGGCAGGGAGACTGTGAGGTGGGAATTTCCACAAGTTACGAAGTGTCTTATGTTCATACAAACAACTGTCTTATGTTCACAGGCATCTTTCCTCTGGGTTCAGTGTAATAAGTGTCCGTCTTTCCACTGAAAACGAAATACCTCCATTTTCACTTTGCCTCTTATTTTTTTCTTCTACAAGGACCCTGTTCCATAAATCACCCGATATTTCTCCTTTATTTTCAACTCTGACGCCTACCAACAATTCTACACGGCTAAAGAGCTTCCATTAAATAAACAAAACAAACGAAAACCTCCCTTCACCCACTGTTGCCTTCCAAATCCCATCTTTTCTCTCGATTCCACTCCAGTAAGAAAGTCATCTAGAATCACTTTCTTCCACATTTCAACCCACAGCAATCACGTTTCCACCCACCTCTCCCGGACAAAGAAACTGTTCTTACCTGGGTCACTGATGACTTCCCTACTCGCAAAAGCCAAAGCCTCCTTCAGTCCTCAGCTTACCTGAATTCTATGCAGCATCTGATTGGGCAGGATCACTCTTTCCTTCCTGAAGTTCTCCTTCCTCGACCCCTCTGTGATTTCCCTCCTCTCTCTCCGGGAACCCTTTTACAGGCTCTTCCTTCTCGTCTTGCCAGCCTAGATAATGGGCTCCACCGAGATTGGTCTTTTCTGTTTCCCATCCCTTGCTCCTCATCTGATCTGTCACTCACCTTGCCCAATCAATCTATGTAATGACTTGAATGTTTCTTTTTCACTCCTTCTCTCTGACACCACCTTAGTTTGTACTTGTTTTTTCTCAAGTGGATCACTGCGACAGCTGCTACCTATAAAAGCCTTCTGAACACACAGGTGATCCTTGCTCTCCCCTATTTAAATTGGATGGTACCTTACAACTTCCAGCACATTCCTTAGCATGGCATACCCTAGGCATTTTAAAAACTACTTTTCTTCTTTAGCCAGTCAATAGACGTGTACTTATAATATACATACCTCCCATATTTTTCTTACACCAGAGAACAATTTAATTGCAGTTCTATCAACACACCTGAAGTTGTCTTACATATAATTTTATACTCATACGAACCAAGGTGTTATAGTTCTAAATTACTTTTTGAGAATTAAAAGAAAATTCAGAGAAAAACGACGTAACTAAGCAAAGATGTCTCACTCTGTAGTCAATACCTTGCACATGTACATAATAGATTGACTCCAAGTATTTCCCAGTGATTCCCCAATCCGTCTTTTTGCATTAGTGAATATTCTACAGTCAATTTTAAAATGGAAAACAAAATACGAAAGCCTATTCTCACAAATGTCCAATCACAGAAAACACACCCGAATGCACACACAGGGTTGTGAGCAAAATAATAAAACACACTCCCTCTTACTCAATAACAAAATGTTTAACATTTAACATTTCAGATACGTTGCAGCTGTCTCTCCAGGTGAAAAACTCCTCTCAGACAAAAAGTCTTGTTTTCTCTGTTAAAATCACTCAGAGTAGATAAATTAACAACAGTTTGTTACCACTGACCCAAGAAGATGTCTTGCCTAAGCTTAAGTAGAAGGTTTTAGATTCACCATGAGTAGATTAGCAAAGTGAAACAGGGTACTTGGTAAAGATTTTGCGGAGCGCCAAGCAGTGCACCTGATTTCAGTAAATAACTTGACAGTCTATCTTGACTTTTTCTTATGGGTTAGACTGACAGTCAATAGCCAGTCAATTGATACGTAGTACCATTGTGCATTTTTGCAAAACTGATAATGTGTCGTTTATGGCATATAGCAGCAAAGAGATTTATATGCCAGAAAACATAATCACAATAGACTTGTTAATTATAAGATCAGTCTATGCCTACCTGGAAGGTATCCCTACCTGATAGGTATCCTATCTAGTGGTGGTATGCCACAGGGATCTTTCACAGGTCCTGTCCCATTCAATCTTTTTCCCTTCCAAATAATTAATATAAAGACAGAGAGAGAATACTCATCTAATATGGAAGCCATAAAGTGGGGAAGAAGAGTTTATAGACGGGATGAGAGGCATATGATCAGAATTACCTCAGCCAACTTAAATAAAACTTAATAGAGTTAACTGTAAAGGCATATATTTAAGTTTTAAAAAATCCACAAAAGAAGAATTCTGACTTTGGCTATAGTCCAAGTAAAAATGATCAATGTGAATACAACACAAATATTAAAATGCTAACATAAACTTTTGTTGCATTAATAAAATAACTGCCTATTCATTCAGCAATTAGTTTGCAAGTATTCGATGAAAAAGACTGATACAGAAAGTAACAGTTCCATTTTGGGTAAATGGCAAAGCTGAAAATCAAATCCATATCTGATTCCAAAGTTCTGTCTCTAGACTTAATGTAGAAAGAATATGCCCTATTTGGTTTCACGTGGAAAAACCAGAACCAAGAGCAAAGTGACAGTGGGGTGAATTTCAACTCAATTTAACTTATTTTTCACATCTAGCACCATCCAAGAATGGGATGAAAAGGTGGCAGTGACATACTTCTCACGGAATACACAGAAGCAGAAGAGGACTGTCCTGTCATCTCTGGGATGCTAAAGAGACAGTCGTGACTCGGATTGCAGACTGAAATATTTCATCTCCAAGGTCCTTCACAACTCTTAAGACTCATTGTTCTTTATGAGAAATTATTAAAGGCAATTAAAAAATAAACACTTCCTAAGAAGTACGTATTAAACCAGCCTCATGTTTTTCTTAAAGCAGGGCTTTACCTTTGTATCATGCTGTAGGCAAGCTTCCTAGTACGTGAACAGAATTAGGAAACAAAACCTCATTGAGATTTGCATAGTTTGCTAACAGCTGGTACCTGTAACTGAAAGTAGGGGAAAAACCAAGCTGTTCACCTTTGGTGTGCTGATCTGGGGAATGCAGATGTGGAACTGCTTAACTTTGCCATGAAGAAAGCTTCCCCAGGACAAAAGAACAAGAAGGCCGGACACGGTGGCTCACGCCTGTAACTGCAGCACGTTGGGAGGCCAAGGTGGATCATGATGTCAAAAGACTGAGACTATCCTGGCCAACGCGGTGAAACCCCATCTCTACTAAAAATACAAAAATTAGCTGGGTGTGGTGGCACACACCTGTAGTCCCAGCTACTCGAGAGGCTGAGGCAGGAGAATTGCTTAAACCTGGGAGGCAGAGGTTGGACTGAGCCGAGACTGCACCACTGCACTCCAACCTGGGCGATAGAGCGAGACTCTGCCTAAAAAAAATTAAAAAATAACAAGAAGAGACACATTGCTATACAGTAACTTACAGTCATGTACTAGACTTCTATATTTTTGTCTGCTCAGCATCCACATATCCCATTTCCAAGACTGGCAGAGCTTTCTCCCCTGGTCCCTGGAACGTAACCTGGACTCAGCCAATCAGACGCACCTGCCTCAGTGTTTGACCCTTAAAGGAATGACCCACCCCAGTGATGGTGAGATGTTATTTACGGCAGAGGCACTAGCCTCACGAACGCATGTGTCCACTGGCAGCTGTGCTTTGGTGACATCCTAAGGAAACTGTCCGTATGGCTCCATCTCAGCCAAACTCCTGGCTGCCAAGTATCCTTTTGCTTCTGCTACCTTATCAGCCAATGAGCTGCCCAATGTATTTCCAATAAAAGCTTCTTTTTTTTCTTGATTAAGTTGTTCAGAGCTTTGTGTTGTTATTATTTGCAAGGAAGAACTGGTACGCCTCTGAAGTGTTACACCACAGAATGAATTTAGGGGAATATTTGCTCTTGTTCCAGTGCAGTAAAAACTGATACAGGCTACTGACCCTAAAACCTATTCTAACATAAACCCCAAATTTTCTTCTAAAAGGCTGGCAACCCAAGTGACAGATATTAATATAATCTCAACTTAAAAAACAAAAGCAGCTACATCTACCAAACTAGAGGTTGTAACAGTTACAGTTCCATGAAGAAACTGTGTAATAAATTATAACTTTCAGACTGGGTCATTTATTCAGCACATACTTATTGGAAGCCTTCTCCGTACCAGGAAGAGAGAAAAGAAATGATTTCTAATTAACTCTTTTGTTTTTCGGCATCCATGTGAAAGCAGAGAAGGCTAAAGGTAGAGCATTTGTGAAAACTATGGGCAAACTCTTTTTAAAAGTCATGTCACCTGTTCCATATTGCGTACGCTTTATTTCTTGTCAATTTTATCAGCTCATTTAATTACACAGCACACTAGGTAAATGCAGAAGGGAATTAATGGTTACTTCTCAGCAATTCTCTTCACACTTTTTATCTCTGTAAAGAAGGATTCTCATAATGAACTGAACAGTCACAGTGAGCACTGTCTATACCAACCAATTTTCTAATAAAAGCTTGGCTATCTGGAAAAGCTCTGAAACGAACCATTCTAGAGTTCCAAGTTTTCCACAGTATCATACTAAGCACCAAAGGTTATTTCAGTGATTATTTTAACAACTCTAGGGGAATTTTTCTACATTATATATTTTCCTTCTGGCAGAAAAGAGAAAAATTGCAGGCAGCCAAATCGTTGCATCACTTGAACTATGTCATTTCAATCCTGGAAATGTTTCTGTCTTGATTCCCTAGGTAGAAAAGTGGGCCTCGGTGTGGAGGCTATTTTTAGTGTCTGACTTCTTTTTTGAGCAGTGCATTCCTTTCTTGATGTGAATGATTACCAAGTCTAGCTTTGAACTACAGTTTCAGATCAGAAATAAGCACATCACAGGAAAAGTCAAAGGAGTTTCAAGTTTTTAAGATGGGAACTGAGCATATTCAGTACTGAGTTCTGGGGAAGGGCTTGTGTGCTCAATTTCTGCCAAATATATTTGCTGCAGTGATCCTCTAAGAACCATAAAAAGTACAAGCTGTAAAAGAGCAAATCACTTCTAAAATGATGAAAGGCTGAGTTTTAAAAGAGGACTTATTCGGGAAAGCATGCACAAATATACGCAGAGACGCACGTGTGCATCCACAAAGAGAGAAGTCAATAGGCTCAACTTTCATGTTTGGTTGAAGCCCAGATCTATGAAAAAATAGAGCAGAGCATTTAATCTGGCTCTCAACTATTCAGGGCCTAGATATAGGAAGGACAAAAGCCACACTAATATCTACTTACAATGTAAATCTGGTTTTGGTTGTTTGCAAGATAAAATAACCACCAGCCCAAGTCTGACAGTTTGACAATGTTCAAGAAGCTACAATAAGGGGGCAGTCCTAGGGCTGTATCGCTTGAACAATCAGTTTTATAAAAGAATAATGTGTCTAATCCTCTAAGACCTTTTATCCTGAAATCACTCACATGCAGGGCTCCAATCTTAAAGAACTTAGCTTTTATATAAACCATGCAATGCAAGCCCAGTGTACACAACTGGACTAATTTAATGGTGTTGGAAAGAAGAGTGATTTTTTTTTTTTTTTAAGAAAGAAAAACTAAGAGCTCTATGGCCCAAGAAGGGAATTATCTTTCTCTTCTTCCAATAGGCATCAAATAGTTTCAGGCAGAGCTGGGAACAATTTACCCTCCATGAAGAGAAGGCAGCAGGACATCCACGTAGGTTTTCACTCAGTGCCTCAGCCTGCTTCTTCTGGTTCGATTCAGCACACATATACTGAGAGCATCAGGCACTATGCCCAGCCCCAGGAATCTAAGATGGTTACAAGAAAACACTGCCTTCCAGGAACTCAGGATGAGCACTAGCCAGGCCTCCTTTTCTGGGAAAAAAAGTTTCTTCTAGGGATACCTCTCCTCAAGTGGCTCACAAAAGATAAGACTATATTAAACATAGGTGTGTGGGGGTGTGTGTGTGTGTGTGTGTGCGCGCGCGCGCGCACACGCGTGCGTGTGCACCCATGCCAGGCTGCCCAGGAAGGCACTGTCACTCACTGAGGACCTGCCACGCACCAGTCACTGGACAGGGCCCTTCATAAGTAGTAGCTCTTATAACTTCTCAACAACTGCATGAGATAAGCATCATGATTCCCCTTTTTAGGGATGAGGAAACTGAGACCCTGAGACATTCGTGCCTGCAGTAGGCTCCAAAGCAGGTGCATTTTCTACTATTTGACATGGCTTGCTCTGAGAACAGAAGTTCCAGGTTACGCAGGAGAGATTCACCCAATCATAAATGCTTAAGAACCATCTAGGGGGAGCCGAGTCCTGTGTTCTGGGGTAATGCACTGGTGATCCATCCCGCATAGTCCCAGCTCTTGGGTTTCTGTGGTGAGGACAGACTGGGAACCTCTGTTAAGGGAAGTTGAGAGCACCTTGGAAGCCCACTGGAGGTGCTGGTGAGTCTACTATAAAGACTGGCATGAATAAGCGGCTTAAACTGAGGCCGAAAGGATGAACTAGAAGTATAGATAATTAATCTTGCTAGGCTGGGGGTTGAGGAGGTGCGGGGAGAAGGGTTTAGAATGAAGAAGTGTGCTGCAGCCAGAAGAAAGAGGCAAGACAATGTGATCAGCATGGGAAATGGGAAAGGCCCAGTATGGCTGGAGTACAGAGAGCAAAAAGGTGAGTGGGTCCCAGTTCATGCAGGGACCAGAGCATGTGAGATCTTGCCGGCCGGTACATTTATCTTACTTATGGCAGGAAGACAAGGAGGGGTTTTAAGGGCAGGTAGGGGACAGGCACAGTGGCTCATACCTATAATCCCAGCACATTGGGAGGCCGAGGTGGGCGGATCACCTGAGGTCAAAAGTTCGAGACCAACCTGACCAACATGAAGAAACCCCATCTCTACTAAAAACACAAAAATTAGCCGAATGTTGTGATGCATGCTGATAATCTCAGCTACTCTGGAGGCTGAGGCAGGAGAATCGCTTGAACCTGGGAGGTAGGGGTTGTGGTGAGCCGAGATCGTGCCACTTGATTGTAGCCTGGGCAACAAAAGCAAAACTCTGTCTCAAAAAAAAGGCGGGGGGGGGGGAGGGAAGGTGGGGATGGGACAATGGAAATGCATGCCCAGATTTGTATTTTGACACAAGAAATCTAGGTACAAGGTGCTGGGTACAGAAGTGACCCACTATGCCCCAATGGACAAAAATAATCCTGGGCAATGCCAGAAGAAAACAAAAAAAAACCCACAGTAAAGAAAGAGAAAAAAATTCTACCCACAATCCTTCTATCTAGAAATAACTACAATAACTACTTTCCTCCATATCCTTCTGGTTTATTTTTATGGACTAAAAAACATCAAGATGACTCTGAGGAGAGAGATGTGTACCTTGCCTTTTCAATTATATTAGATGAGCATTTTAAAAATGTGATTTTTAATTAGTGCATAATAGTCCTGCCCAATCACCTGCCTTAATTTACTGAACCATTTCTTTGCTGGTGTCCCGTGCTGCTCTGCACGCCCATGTGGACGAAGGTTTGCCAGCGTCGGAGAGTGTTCCCTAGAGATGGATTATTAGAAAGGGAATTAGTGAGCCAAAGAGCAAAACTGTTTTAAGGTCCTTTGCCCATACTGCTGAAGTGCTTCCATAAATGTTATGCTCACTGGATTATATTTTTGTTCTGCAGCTGCTGCTGTTTTCATTTCACTTACATATGTAGGCCTCCTAGGTGAACTGCTGAACGTGTGGAGTGACCAGGTATGTCAACTAGAAATAACGTATCCATCTCCTCATAGCTGCATGTGTACTGAAAATTAACATTTAAAAAATCCTCGCTGGGTGTGGTGGCTCACGCCTTTTATCCCGGCTCTTTGGGCGGCCACGGCAGCAGAATGGCTCATGGCCAGGACTTGGAGACCAGCCTGAGAAACACAGTATGATCCTGTCTCTACAAAAAGAAAAAGAAAAAATCCCTGCCAGTTCAAAAAACAAAAACTGATATTTTATTATTCTAATAATCTGCATTTCTAGTATTTATTGGTATTTATTCCTTGGTGAGTTATTTAATCTTAATGATTGAACCAAGGTATAAGTCAGGTCGTCATATTGGGAGATTTTTAATGCTGCTGTGATGAGCTTTAGCAGGGCGCACAGTCCTGCATCCTCATCATCACGTCATTAAGGATTCACTTTAAATACAAGGA